TTTGTGGGGTTTCGCATCAGAGTGCCCACGTTTTGGCTGGGTTAAGTAAGTGGCGTTGCGGTGCAGATGAGAACAATGTTGAAAACTAGTTTTTAAAACCATCTTTCGAAAGATGCTGGTGTGCTTACAACCCGTGTCAGGCTACTGATTTGTGACAGCGAAGGGATGACAAACCGTCTTAATCAAACTCAGGAGAATCTAAAAAGTGAATCAAAAAATAGAAAGCGACAAAATTGTCTCTTTCTGAGGAAACAACATGGGATGACCATGGTGTACAGAAAACATTTTAGATACAGCTGCCAGCACGCACTGTCCTAGTACCCTCCACCAGGATCTCAAAACATTTCACAAGAGTTAAAGGAATTTGCCGTTTGATGTCACCATTCATTCCCTGATTTAAAGAAGAAGAAAACCACGCATAAAGAAATCCAGGCTAAACTATGCATTTATAACTTTCCCCATGAAAAGACAGAGACCTGACTACTTCCCTCTTGCATTAGGGAGAATGGATGGAAGACGGTAATAAAACACTGCTCTGTTTGACTCGCAATGTGCTGCTGCCTTTTCCCTCTTCCCCCTGCCATATCAGCTGTGCCACCTGCCATATCAAGAGGTGGATCAAAAGCTCCACCCACTGCATCCTCTTTTGTTCAGGGAACAGTGAAGGAGAGTTGTAATGGAGATATAACACTTGATAAACCATATGCAGCCAGGCTCAAGATGTAGGGATGCTTTTCACGGGGGGAGCGATTTTAATCCCGCTTCCCTCCTCACACAAACACGTAGCCATCGAGCCACAGGCAAAATGTGAACGACTTGTCTAATACGGATTTTGCAGCTGGACTGATAGCTGCGGTAGTAAGTTCTCCTGCCTCATCTCACATTCTTAAGACATTTTTCATTTCAAATCAAACTTATTTCCAAATGGAAAGATTTGTCCCATTGTTCCAGACTGCTATCAGATAGGACTGGTTTGTAATTTTTGAGAAAGCCTTTGCCAGATCTCACAGCAGGAAATGGAATATTTTTTTCTTGGTCTTTTATATTCTGAAGATCACAACTCGCTGCCAGTGGCACTGGCTGCATTAGGGCTGGGCCCAGGGGAATGGATGCCCACAAGAAGCTCATTTCTCTCTGCCATTTTTCTCTGAGAAAGCAGGAAGACACGACATTGCTTTGAAAACTACCAATGTACGTGAAGGAAAACTTGCATCAGCCTAACATTTCCATTCTCAGTGAAGACAGTATAGCTCTTGCACGGCGTCGTTCATCTTCAAAATGCTTTGCAAACACAAAGTAATCAAGCTCAATATTCTTCTACAGAACCCAGTAAACTATATAATTAAAAATGTACCAAGTATCAGAGACTTGTTAAAGGACATCACATGAAAGGCTCTGATACATTTTATAGGCAGGATTTGATAAACTGCCTAACTTTTTCTTAGCAAAGATATTTGATGTATTAATAAAAATAAAAAAAAAATCTAAGAATTCCGAAACAATTAATCAAGTCCCTACTAACACAAGGGACTCTGAGAGATGTCTTTAAAAAAGAACACTTTTAGTGCCTCATATACAGTAAAATCCTAGATCTGTTACTCTTCAAAATCATGAAGAGAGCTTGCTTATATACCTCTGAAAACATCTACACCGACCAAACCTGCAAGCACTTATGCAGATGAGTAACTTCACTGCCTGTGGAGCTCCAATGTGAGTTTGCAGGAGGAAGCTTAAATGCATCTTTGTTAAACAAGCCATCAATTACACACTTTAAGGATGGCAGCACCTGTGCAAAGCCTTCAACTCAAACGACAGACACTAAAGAAATAAGAAGCAATTATCAGCTACTAATTTGAGTAAAACTGTTTTCTGCTTAGAGATAAAAACACAATTTTCAGTGACACTGGTTCTATTTTTGGCAACTAACAATCTTTATTAGATTATTGTACAGCAGACATTCAAGCCCTCTCAAAAATAAAAGGTTTCCAAATTTTAATATTTCACTATTTTTCACACTCCTTTGTTGATTACAAAGATTTCCTTGTACATGTTTTTAGAGAAAACAAAGGCACTGCTGTGTGGGACAAACAGAACAGAACTAAACTAAAGCCATTATCGCAGCAATTTTAAATTATTCCTAAATGCTTTTGATTTCTTACTAGACAAGTATCTTCCAACAAGAGTTGGAATATGAAACTCATACCAGCTATAGGGGAGACATACTACTCAGTTCTAGGACAAATGGTTGGTTTGCATTGCCCCTGGTCTTTATCTAACACTGAGAATAGGCTGCTTTTTATCAAAAGAGGAATAAATTGCTGTTATTGTGATGTTAGCCCATCACTTGGCATTGCAATTCAAGTTTTTGTGAGAAAGAAATGTATGATCTAACTGCAACTTGACCTATGCCTTCCGAGATCCATCTAGGTGCTCTAATGGAGCATAAAAAGTATTGAATACAAGGACATGCAAACCGGTAGTGAAGAAATTTGTTTGAGAAGACGAGCGAAGAGAAGGGGACTCTCATGAGCTCGTGGTTTACACGCTGCCCAATTTGTTAAATATGGAAGAACACTTATTGCCAAACTGCAGTTCTTTTAATTAATGTATTTCAGCATGATTCTCTACATTTCCTCGCATCTGGTTCCTCCCTCTCTCAGTCACGCTCTCTGCCTCTCTCTCTCTTTTTGTTATTTTAAAAGTGTTGTGGTTTAAGAGACTGTACAGGATTCTTTAAAGATTCACATTATTTTTCTGGTAAGTCATTAAAATGGACTATTAAACTGTTAAGAAAAAGAGAAATTGCTCCTGTTTCTTTGTAGGATTTTTGCCTTTCCTAGTACAAGAAAAGTCACGTTAATTGTTTATCAAATACTTGGGCCATGATATATCACAATATAAACTAATTCAAGGGAGACCATTTGATTACACTACAAAATCCTTTAGTTGTTATAGTGTTTCTCAGAATTTTTCAGAAAAGGATGTCTTTTTCAAAAAGGATTTCTAGGATAGTAGCATTTAGATTTTAGTCCTGATAAAGGCTCACTTTCCATTCATAGTCAGAACCTAAATGTGCTCTTCTTGTACCTAAACAGATAATAAGCACTCAGCACACTCCCCCTTCTTGACACAACACACTGAGACTAATCACACATAATTGGAGAGGAGGAGCAGAGGGGCTGGGCAGGCTATTGTGTCCAAAGGACAAATGGTCAGTTTATGAGGCTTTTGTCTGATGCATAATTTCTTATACATCTACAGGAGGAAAAGTCTTGCTGGAAAAAAAAACATAGATACACACATACATAAAAAAAGCCTTCAACACTGCAGCAAATGAGGACATTTCAGTCATGGATAGAAAAATCAGCAGTGGAATTAAAACGAAAAAAGGCAGAAAACCCCATCACTCAATAGGTGCACTTTTAAAAGATCTTAAGACAACTATTTCCTTACTAATTAAATGTGAATGCATTTACTACTTTTCAACCAGCTATATAAACCCACAAAGTATATTATTCACGTATTTTGAAATACACCTTAAAAATAACATTTAAAGAAATTAACATGCAAGTTTAAAGACACAAAAGAGAAGGAAGCCAGCTTCATACCTTTGTTAATGTATACATGTGAAGTCTGATTGGTTTTAGGCTGGAATATAATTGGAAAAATAAGTTCTAAAATTATATAAAAGAGATGTCTCAATGTTTACATGCTGTGAAACCAGCCACGATGTCTTTCTCCTCATTTAGATGAGAAATATTTCTCTAATGATGACTCAGGAAAAAAGGAGGGCCTGAACCCTCCCCACTCCCTGACCATCCACATATATGGATTAATTTTCAGTACTCCACCTTAAAACAAACAAACAAAAAAGTGTCATCTTCTATCTGTGCTTGGTTAAAACGAGAAGAAAAGGGTAATGGAGGTTTTCCTCATATGTATCTTTTTCTTCATTTTTCAACTGCAAATAAAAAATGGATAAAGTGAGAAAACTATATGAAAGCATTTTTAAAATACTGACAGTTCTTCCTTAACTATATTCCTTAGTGCAAATGATATTACTAAAGATTAAACATTTAACAACTACAAAAAGAAATCTTAAGGTCAAATACTATCACAGGAATGGAACAGTATGTCAAATATTATCAGGACTTGGTCAGAGTTTGTAGACAAACTAATTCATGCAATAAATAGTTGAAAGTCCCAAATTGCTGTATTAAATAAATTATCTTCAAGTGAGATTTAAGGCCTGAATTAAATCCACTAGGCAAGGAACTTCAGAACAAAGGCTAAAAGTTTATCGTTAATCAGCCTAACTATTGCTGTATATTTGGTATTTAAGATCAACAACTGTTTCAGACCTCTGAAATACCATAATCTTACCTGAAGGTTTACATAATTGTAAGCTACTTCCAAGGCTGTAATGCAGTTCTTGATGGGCTCATTTATTAATTCTGTTTCTTTTAAAAAATTCTTATTGTAAGCGATAATTATAACCTGATAACAATAGTGGCACTATTCTAATCACTAGAGGTAATGTTAGTGTGCTCTTCTAAGCTACACCAAAAGAATATATTTCTAAAAAATATAATGTATGTTTACTTTCTTAGGTTAAAGGCAATTTAAAGTATGTTTACATGTTAAACTGAAGTATGTGGAAAATACTCACACAAATTACATTTCGTAATCACCTCACATAAAAATATTTACATATTTTTGATATAAGGAAGAAATATTAAAAAAAAAAAGTACCTTCGGCCATGCCTGACACAAATTACTCTCTCAGCCAAAATACTACATTTAAAGTCCAAACTCTTCTTTTCCCATATTGTTTTGCCTTTATTTTCCTTGCCATGCATTAAGGATTTTAGTTGGTCCGTGTCACAACATTGCTCATGTTATTTAAACAAAGGTCTTTTCCATATCATATTCTTCAAGTGTGAAGTGCCTCTGTGTAAGCTACTGTCTGTGAGCAATTAACACACTTTTCCTTTTTCATA